TCCTCCGCCTTTGCCGTACTGGTGCCTGAGGCCCAGGTTCGTAATTGGGGGTGGTGGGCCCCGGGGTCCGTGGCTTTGTGGAAGTACGTGGATTTGCAGCGGCGGCCTACTGAGTTTGACTACCGCCTTTTTGGCTGGATGCTTGTCGCCGCTGACTCCCTTCGCGACGAGATTCGTGACATCTTCTCCGCGCCGTCTCCTCCTCCTGTCCCGTCGCCTTGATGGGGGCCTCTTCGTTTCCCCATCCTTTCCGGCCCTGTACTTTGCTCGCGCTTGCCGTCCGGGCCGTATTGTTTGGAGATGGGCACTCTTTGGCTTGCGGGTGACATACCCGGGTTCTTGAACTGCATGGACAAGCTGGATTGGTGGGTTGGTGACGGATAGGTGTTTTGTTGGAGTTGGATCAGGTGGACATTTTGTCACGGTTTGTGACGTTTTTCTGAATATGTAATTATAATTACATGTTCAGCCTGCCATTGGGCGGGAAGATCGCAGGGCTGTACCGTAAGGGATGGTTACGTCCAGTAAGCTAGTTTACGGGAGGCCCGAAGATGGGCGGGCGAAAAAATTGCTACCCGACAGTGCTCTGTCAGCAGGGCGCCCAGTTTGCGCGGGAACATGCTGCTGCTGGGGCCCCAAGGGAGGCAACGGTCCTTGGGGCCGGGTTTCGGCTCGTTCGGGAACTGTTTGGCGGCGCCGAGGCCTAAGGAGGCGACGCGCCATCAGTCTGCACTTTGTTTTCTCCCCGCCCGCCCTCTCCTTGGGGTTTTGTTGGGATTGTTTTTTGACATTGTTGAAACCTCGCTCGAGATGAACATTTGGGACCGGAAAAGGCACTCTTTGGCTTGCGGGTGACATACCCGGGTTCTTGAACTGCATGGACAAGCTGGATTGGTGGGTTGGTGACGGATAGGTGTTTGTTGGAGTTGGATCAGGTGGACATTTTGTCACGGTTTGTGACGTTTTCTGAATATGTAATTATAATTACATGTTCAGCCTGCCATTGGGCGGGAAGATCGCAGGGCTGTACCGTAACACCGCCGCACATCAGGGCGTCGGCGCAGGCGTCGCGCACCCCAGCATCACAGCAGCAGACCCCGTCTTCAAGACCGGGATAGGTGCCAGCGGATGCCACGTCCCTGCCCATGTGATGGTCCGAAAGGGGCACAACGCGGCACGAGCCCACTTGTTGGCCAGCGACGCCAATCAGCGTGCGCGGAGCGGAGCGCGCTGGCCCCAAGGGCGCTTCCATGGGTGGCACTCAGTCACTCAAGAGGGGTCAACACACGAAGGCGGCAAGGCACCACTCGGACCTCCAGCCCGCCACGCAAAGAGCCAAGCACTGCGGCAGATCGGGGCTAGGATCGAGGGGTGACCACGGTCTAGAGCAAGTGCGGATGCCGCATTGGCGCCGAGACTGCGTTGGGGTGGTGTTTACAAGGGCTTGGGGCGGATGGGTAATGGCGGGCGGGACGGGGGGGAGAAACGGGGGGATGCACACGGGAGCGCTCGCCGCTGTTTGGTAGCCACGGAATGGGGGTGGGGAGAGTGTGGGGTGCCCGGTGTGGGATGTGGGAAGGGGTGATCGGCCGAGCGCGTGAGCTGCCCGGCAGGGACCCCGAAGCCGGCGAGCAGCGTTCCGGTCTCTGCGGTGCGAGATCTCAAGCCCAGGTGTCGCAATTGACAAGCCGATATTGTCGCCTTGGGCCGCGATGGCTGCCGCAGTTTGCGGCGGCCAGGAAGGGAGTTTTGCCCGAGCGTTCCGCCAACGAAGCGCAAACTGCCCAGTTACGTGATCGCCAGCGCTGCTGCTGATGCAACGGAGATGCCCCTCCGCGAAGCGCTGACCTCTCGGCGGCCGAGTGGAGAGCACAGCTGCCTTCCGGCCCTTGCCTTGCAGCCGGGTCTGCCGCGCGCGCATGGCCGCTCCCAGCCTCCCATTCCCTCAGACAGTCTTCCGTTGGGAAGTGAGCGTGCAAAGGCGAGCGACAGCCGAGGGCGTCCTGGTGTGGAGGCCTGGGTCAGTCCGCCGGCACTCGGCGGCCCCGTCGCAGGCGGGGATGCTGCATCTCCGGGTGGCGTGGAAGGTATCAGGGGCGGAGTGCCAGCGAGGAGCATGACGACGGATGCTCCGTTATGGTGCCGGAGTGCGGTCAAAGGGGCAGGTGGGCGACACCCTTCATCCGCACACGTGGGAGGTTTTGTCGCGTCGTGTCCGGGGGGGCTTTGCTGCGAATGCGGCACAATGCAACCAGCCAATCTGCGAATCCGTCGATCAGTCAATCCACAACGCTGCCGAAGGCAATCACGACAATCCATTCCGGAATTCTGCGGCTGGTTGCGTCCACAGTGTCGCGCTGGTCCCAAAGGTGGTAAAAGCACTTTCTCTTTCGGTGCTGAAAGAGCAAATGCCGTGCCTGCATGCACTGGCGAAAATGCAATACGTTGGATAAACAAATGAACAAAACGTAGGCTGCTTTTGCCGTGCACATAATCACATTGTCGTACAACCACTGAGTTGAACGTAAGTCCCCTACTTTTCCATATCGCGTTGTACAGGTACGAAGCCTCAGACAAACCAAATGGATTCATTCCAGATCGTGCACAGGAAGCACTCACCTTAAATATACCCAAAGCTGCATACTGAGTCCGGTGGTGATGGTGCCAGAAGTTTGGCATTGGTGACTCAATCGCCTGTGAGCTGTCCGTTCAGTTCTCAAAGCTGCTGACTAACGCAGTCTCCTCAAGCTGTGCATGCTTGGGCAACAGGTTTGGACGGTTTTGAGGTGTAGATGGCTGAGTATGTGGCATGCTGGGGGCATTCAATATCTACCTCCTACAGACTCCTTGGGGAACAACAACGTGGGAGATCACATTCAAATAACAATTCAAATACACAACAGACTGGTGTCATGGAGCCTGGCAGGCAGTGCTCAGTGTTCCTCACAACCAAAGCTGTGTTTACATCACTTATTCTCCCTTGTGTGCCTGCCTATCTCTGCACGACAATCCCGCAGTGCTTCTTTGCCAAACTGCCTCCATTCATGGCGATATCAACTGGTGGGTAGCGGCGCAATTGGCTGACCTGTTTTTTCACTGTCGTGCGCTCAAGTCTAAGACAAACAAAGAGAAACCTGTCCCTGTGATGCTGCTCAACACTCCCATACATTCCGAACAATTGCTTTTCAATCCGCCCACCAATTCAACGCGTTCCGCGTTTTCACGGTCCTCATTCATTTTGCTGCTTATTTAACTCGTCTTCAGCGCATTCCATGGCCAAAAACATTATTCATTTCTTGTCGCCCTCCTGATTGCGTTCCTTTTGAATTCCATTCTGCGTGCAACGCCCGAATTCGCAAACTCATCTCCAGCTCCCTCCATGCACATATCCCGCCAACCAATCCCAGTACCACCCTCACAAAAAGCCAATCCGCAAAAGACATTCCAGATTTCGCTGCCGCACCTGTTGGCATCTACTTCCAATTCTCCACCTCCCTTTTACCCGGCTACGCTTGGTTCGCCTTGTCGGCAGGTCAGCCGACTCTTCGCAGAAAATCACCAGCGCACGTTCTCACTGCACATCTCGCAAGCACGGATGCTCGTCAGAAGCAGCATTGCAGACACGGTTTAAAACCGCGCACGCCTCTGAGCAGTGAAGGGCGCCGCGGCAACCCATATGTCCGCTCCCTGTTCTGTCGTGGTTCGCCATTAGCCGATGGCAGAGGCATCCTGCTCAAGAAATTCCCAAGCGCATGTCCGCGGGCAGATCCTGAAAGTAAAGGTGCTCCAGGGCGTCGTCCGCACTTATCCTCTCTCCAGGCGGGTACGTCAGCATTCGAGATAGCAAGTCAATGCCGTGTGGCTCGGCCATCAGGCGCGGCACCACTTCTTGGAGCGGGATCGGCGGGCGGGTGTCGAAGTTCGGCCTCGGGGTTCCTTCCAAATTCAGCACCTGAGGCAAGTTGTCGGGAACTCCCATGATCCTGAAGATGGCCCATTCTTGCGGTTCCTGCAGTGAACGAATGGATGAATACTTTGAGGCGACGCGCAAAACGACACATTGTCATGTCAACGTGTCTCTGGTCAGCTCGAATTGTCAAACAACATCCCTGTGCTAGCGGTCTACAATGCCCTCGCACTGATCGGTTCTTGCAGTGCGAGATACATTATGTTAAAGCGCAGTCACGTTTTGCTGAGATGCGTTATGTTCTGGGTGCTCTACGATTTCAGCTTCAATAGTGTTGCTTTGGATCCCCTTGGCCAATGGCGGTCGGTCGAAGACATTCCGACAGCCCATTGCATGTGCACCACGAAGGATGCCCCGCGATTAATTCCGATGTGCAAGAATAAATACAGAAAGATTGCCAGTAAGCATTGCTGATCCTTCTGGTGTTATGTCAGCTGTTATCAATTCTGGATAAGCCCAAAAACCACGGAAGGAAAACACCATTTCTCGATGAGTGGGTCTGGAAAGCTCTCAGTGACAATCTAGGCATGACGATTATTGAGTTTGGACGTTCCTCTACATCGAGCAAAACAGATTACACTTACAAAATACTGCATGGCAATGAGCTACCACATTACATTTGCTGGTGACATAGAATGTGGCGATATTACACAGTTTGAGGTTGAATGGATGCATCGTCAACAGTGTATTCATTACACTCTGTAAAGTACATGGACTGCCCCAACATGGACGCCTACTTCATCTCTAGGGAGGAACAGCACCTCCCCATTCACCATCTCCGCAAAGATGCACCCAATTGACCACATGTCCACCGCCGCGTCGTACTGCTTGGCGCCAAGGAGCAGTTCTGGGGCCCTGTAGTATGATGTCACTACCTGGCAAATCAATTCATCATGGAAAAATGTATCAACACCATCTCAGCGACAAAAGTCCCGGAGTCATAGTTGAAGCTGTAATGACCATAAACCTTTTATATCCAGATTTAATCCAAACGACTATTCTACAGCATCGGGTGCTCTAAAACCTCTACCAGTGATTGCATAGTGATGAATTGCGAATGCTGCGTTGATAATTTTGTAAATCTAAGCAACTAGTCACTATTTCATCACAGCCAGAAGATACCTGAAATTTTTCTCGTTTCATGTGGCTTGTGCATGCGAATGCGGACACCAAAGCATCTGGAAATTTTCTCTACTTTAACTCCGATTTTTTAGTCGGCTTACTGCACCACAGATTAATTGTCGACCAATAACTTTGTGTTCCGTATGTCTGCTCGTCAACTTGCTCCCGTCAAAAGCATGTAAGTGATATGATCGTACGAAGGCAGGCCGCGTTTGAAGGGTCGCTGCAATGGAGGAAGCCATCAATTCCATTCGGCCCTAGTTAACAAATAACTCTACTACTTCTAAAGAAGTAAGCCAAACTATTTGCGTAAAATGGATTTTGGATTGGCAAAATTGTCTGACAAAGTAGATGCAGACTACATTCCTTCGCACGCATAAACACTGTTAAAGAGTAAGTAGCAAATAGTTTCTTCACTACATAAATCACAAAGGTTCGGCCTCCGTTCCACCGCCTAACAGCACTGCTTGATCACTTGCTCATGTATTCCAACAATGTTTACATTGTGTCCACATGCACCTAAACCGTGTATTTAAATTCCCAGGCGGGTTAAAAAGGGCCCATATCAGACGATCGTAACCGTGTCCATGGTACCGTTGTTCACCAGCGCAGGGTTCCAATGATCAGCGAGGCCGAAGCACCACGCAGATTGTTGATTTCGCACGAACACTGTTGTTGTGCCTCAGGTTTTGGCAAAAGCCTGCCCGAAATTCACGAGCGGACGCACCTCCGGTGAGTAACGCTGTGCTGGAAGATTGAATCCTCGAGCAAGTCCGAAGTCGAGCAAACACGGGCGCAGTTTCTCCCTGTCAACCATCACGTTCGCTGGCTTTAGGTCCCTGTGCATTATCCTGGCGGCTCGCACACACAATCTGTCGTCAGTTTGCACCTCAGCGATCCTACAGATGTGGCAACATCTCATGCTCCATGCGGGGCTCGAAGATCTTCAGGAGTACAGAAGTCTGAACTATTCATGGCATGCTGATCAAACGCAAGTTGCGATTAACTGAAGGTCAAGCTTGAAATATATACATCCTTAAAAGGAATGTCTAATACGAGAATCAACGATAATGAATCGATGCAAATCAATGTAGCTACCCCACCCCACCCCTACCCCCATCCCCTGCGTTCCTCCTGAAGCCCGAGGCTCTGTGAGCCACACTCTATGTGGCATTGTGGTGAATGCTGCTAAACGTAACGGCATGTAGCATATGAAAAAGTCATGTCAGTCAAATTATTTCTGGCTCCATCCGGCTTAGGACAGTTTGAGACCATTCGCGGTATTTTAATTGTGGAGCGAATCGGAGTGAAGACGCCAAGTACAAGACATAAGAATGTATGACATGTCATGGTGGCTTGAACATTATCCTTTTGTGGCATTGGTATTTCTGGATCAGTAATTTAGTTCAATGCAAAGTTGATTGTTGTGGATTATGCAACTGTGCTCTTGATTTGATTAATGGTGCTTGATCAATTTGTACAGCCATCCGTCAGTGAACTGCATTTTCAAAGAAAATACTCCAATCAACTTCCAAATTTACCCAAAATTGCGCTTTTGCGAATGTAGATATTCATTCAAAGTGTACCAAATCCTCATCCGCATATTTTGCAGCTGTACACTAAATGGATCGCATGTGCTATTTAGTTGCCAGCAAGCTGTGTGTTTTAAAAAACACACCCCAGCAACCACCGTGGATGTAGAATTCGTATTTGCCATATCGATGCAACTCATAAATCTAACAAAAACTATGTCCTTATACGTGTGTCAATGCGCTATTACAGATTCCTATAGGCGTACCTATTTGGGACTGAGCAACCCAATGCAGTTTGATAGAGCGTGTAGCAGGCTTTTCCTTTCTTGAATAATGTTTTGCGTCTTTTTTTCTTGATGTTTGTCGATTTCAAACAAACATAAAGCCTTTCATTGACCAACAGAGGCAACATTTTGTGTCAATGATATCTTGGTCTCAAAAGTCGAGAACTATGTTATGGATAATCCATAGAGCGTTCACATGTTTCGAATGGCGCCGCCATTTTTGTGACATGTGAAGAGGAGCTGACACGCGACTCTTCGTTTTCCCGCGATACTCGGTGACATGCATCAAGCTGGCCTTGCCCTTCAAAAGATTCTGATCTAGTTCAGCTCTCACTAGGAGATCAGTGCGCCTTCTGGTGTGGTATGCACTGCAGAGGCGGTCCCATTCCAAACAAAATTCGCAAGGAAAAGGATCAAGATCACCCGCAAATTTTGGGGTGCCATCAAGAGCCGCATGCAAATGGTGGCGCAAGGGCAAGCGACACATTTACCAGTGCAGGAGCATCAATTCTGCAAAATTGCGGGGCTGGGAAAGCCGTACATACTGATTCTAACCAAAAGGGCGGATTTGATTGATGCAAACACGACCAATTGTTCAAACAATAATTCGGAAGCACGATCCAGCTCAATGGAAGTGCGAGTGTGATGGCAATGATGCCAAGCTCTCGAGAATGTGTGAATGTGTCTATTTACTGGACAAAACAAGGTCCTTCACGAACATTGAGGAAATGGGCTTTGACGTACCTGAAACAGGCCAATGCAACAACATTGGGAATTGAGGGTGCGTGTGGAACTGGATAGGGACATTTTGAACAAGGTTGTCAATGCCCTGTTGTATGATGATGGCCAACGTAACCAAGATGAATATCAACCTAGAATCAACTAAGGAATGCAAATCTAATGACGAACTGACTTACTGAGTCAATCTCAAGAAAGAAAAGCAAGAAAATGGATCGGACACGACTTTTGAGACGGAGGCAATAGGTCACTAGTGCTGTGAAACTGCTGCAAAAGCCCTCAAGCATCAACTTTAGCAAGCGTGTATGTAGCCTTGGACGCTGCCGCCATGGCTTTCTGCACGGGCTTGCTGCAGCACTGTTCCCGATGGCATTGTGCCATTGTGCCATCGTGCCATTCGTCAATGTAGCATCAAGAGGTGGCAAATTCGCAAACTTCAAAGAGACTGTACAACAACGGAATGCCTCTTTTCATTCGTTTTTGCACAGCCCTGGACAACGGCTTACCTTCTGCTGTGAAGGTAGCTCACAGCTTTCAGCATTTGGAGCAGGAGCACCTGCACGCCAGGAAAAATGGATTATATGGTCGCCTCGCCCAAGGCCGTACAACTCGCATCATGCTTTTGCCACTAGTGCTGTTGTCACCTCGAAAATGCAAGGGTCTTGTTCTGCCTATGAGACAATGCGTTCAGACATTGATTCTACTGCTGCTCATGCACGGGGATGGAAAGAAAAATCTGCTTTTGTTCGCCTCCTTCAGCCACGAGATATGTACACAAAGTAGTGCACCCAAATTACCTTCGGGACCCTTCCATCATAAACATCTCTTGCATGGAACTCCATCATGAAGTCGCACAGGCTCGTCTCCATGTACTCGAATGCCAGCAGCATGTACGACCGATCTTCAATCATGTTAACCCCTTTGAAACTGCATGCCGTCAGCCACAGAATCAATTCTCAGGCACTGACACCAGCTAGAGCAATCGATTGTCAATGAGCAATGTTGCACAATACCGTTGGTGCATCTCCTATTCACGATTCTGCATAGAATATGAGCAAATGTGCCTCAGAATGCCCCTGATCAAGTTCCCCATCAAGCGCCCCTGATTGGCCCCTGCACCCGCAAACCTAATGCGAAGTAAACCCACTGCCTATTGCATCAAACCTCGGAGCAAGCTTCGTGCCCTATGTCACCCAAGGCCGCGGCCCCATAAACGACGACGGGTGGAAAGTGGTATCACTTTCCCTCCCACCTTACGTAATCCCACCCGCACAGCCACAGCCGCGCACCCACGCCGCCCCCAAAACCTGAACACACACGAGCTGAAGTACATGGCACGCAACCAACCAACACTCCGAGGGGGTGGTCCGCGGCCCTCCAGGCCCCCCCACCCCCACACCCCGCGGCTCCCCAGACCCACCCTATGATGTTCTCGTGCCCGCCCGCCTGCTTGAGCTCCTCCAGGACGGACGCCTCGCGGATGGCGCAGGTGGCCATCCGCTCTCCCCACAGCTCTCCGGGATCATCGGATGGCGCGATGCGGCACCGCTTCACGGCCACCAGCTCGCCGGTGGCCGCGTCGCGGTAGAGGAACACCTCCCCGTAGGCCCCGCCCCCGATCTTGCCCCGCCCTTCGACGAGAACATACTGCTATGAATCAACGAGGAAACGATCAGTCAGGGACCGGGCAATCCGTTTTTACCTTAAAGGAGGAAGGCTGACTGTTGGGAACGCCTCTAGTTACGCTTGTTGATGGGGGCGGCTGGTTTCGATCAGAAGACATGCTTGGATCGCGGCCAAAGGAGCAACGGGGTGCGGAACAAAGTCAAGAAGGGGGGCGCGCGTGGGAGGAGACTTGCCTTCCCATCGAAAATTTCTCTCGCCGGTGGGGGAGCCATGCCGATTTCGGTCTCGCTGATCAGAAGCAGGTGACTGAGGGCGACTGAAAGCACTTGAGTTTCCGCTTTTGTGCCCTTTGAGCTTCCTTGGAAGGAGGGAAAGGTGGGGAACAGGCAGTAGCGGCAGGCGCCCGGGGATGGGCGAAGACTTCGACAGTCGACAGCCCGCGGCTGTGTTTATGGCCAGGATGCTTGACTGTACTGCGGCCAACGGACGGCGGGTGTGGAATCTATACTGAGGCTCCCAGTCGGTTGTCGCTTCGCACGGCCACAGGTGATGGGTGTACCGCGGACGCGGGGACGGGTGGCCAGGATCGTGCGCCATTACCAATAAGATTTGTGTGGATACGCGCAGAACTTACATAATGTTGGACCCACGTGCCCAATGCATTCCACATATACTTCAATGGGCTCTTCAAAACGAAGGAACAAAGCCCACGGGCATTTGCCAATGTGTCACATCAACTGATGTGACACGATGTCAGCCCGGTTTGGAGCTATCCACGTGCACGTTGTGTACTAGCACCAGCACTAGCTCATGTACAATGTCAGCTATTTGACAAAGGATAGCCGCCCTTGTCCAGCATTGGTGGCGGCGTCCAGTAAGCGCACTGTTTCCCTTCAAGACGACGAACGTGTTGCGTTTCCACGTCATCCTGCGGTGGCAACGCTTTTGTGATGAAAACTGGCTATCATGAAGGGATTTTTTTTAAACAAAATTGCATTCTCACTTCCTGAGGGGTGAGCCTGACTTCAGGCGACGATCAAACCACAGTGGCTTAGTACAAACGGTGGTCTATGCCGTGCATGATTGTCAGGTAGTGCCTGCTTTCCCAAAGTGCGGCCGTGTTTCCCTGTACAAAACCAACGATGCTGTATTGGATCTGGCGCTTGATGCGCGGATAGGCAACTTCTGTCCGTGGGTGTGTTCTGCTACTGTTATACCAGCCCGGTACTTGACTGGAAGCACAGCCTTGAGCATTGGAGCACGAGAACTGTCGGTTGCGATGGAAGACCAATTGACACCATGAGATGCTTTCTCGTTTTCCGTAGTATGAAAGGCTTTCAAATTTCCAAAAAACACTGTTGTGCTGTATTTGACAACCAAAGCGCCAGCGGTAGACTTCGTCGTTTTCAATACGCCCGGTACTACACACCGTTACGCTTTTGATGAACCCAAGCCATGACCACGAGTCACAATGCGACACATCTTCGGTGTGCGTGAGCAATACATCGATCAATATTCAGTCTTTCAAGCATTTAACCAATGAGTTCTTCAACTAATCTATCAGCAGACTCTGCAAAAAAGGATGGCAAAGGCGGCAAAATATGTCTTCTGCGCGTTGCTCCAATGTTTGCATTCGCACTGTCACCTCAATACCACTATCCTTTCGCCAAGGCATTGAGCACACCACAGCATCTCAATATTCTAGTTCTTTGCCAGGTACGTTCAACAAATGGTCTTGCAAATAAGCCGCAGCTGCGCTCCAGTGCTGGAGATATACATCGACAACAAGATACATTAGTACTGTGGGCATCGATGACAAGGAAGGTCGCTGTGCAGTGCACATGTGCTGCGGAGGTGTGTTGACTGGCAACAAAGAACAACCATGAATGACCGCTCTCTTTTCGAACAAGTTTTTGACTTGTGCATCACGCACGCTCAATTTAGTGTCGCAAATACTCAAATAGGTGTCCCTATGTGACACTGTCCACATAATTGCTTATGACAATTGCAACATAAACTTGGACATTTTGTGTGGGTGCACAGGCTGGGGCTAGGATAATGCTCCAGGTGTCGTGGATAGTGCCCTGCTGTTAGAGCATCGTAGACAGCGACACGCTGCTGTCCGCAATGCCACACGTTCTGTGTGCATCAGAGCCCCGGGCAATTGTCCGTGAGGACCCAATTTCAGTGTCCGTGCACAAAATAGAGTGGGCCTGAGGAGTCCAAGGGACACAACGTTCTACTAATGAATTGACAGCCAGTGGCGAACGTCAATGTTTGAACGAAGAAAAAATATTCTTCTTTTGTTCAGTGAACAATGTTCACTGACCAATAGCCTCAAATGACTGGGGAAGCACGATCATGTGCAATGATGCCAACCGCAAAGTCGCCCAGCTTTGACAAAGACCAGTGCTGCAAATGAATATTTGCTATTTTCGAAAGCGAGTTGGCCATATCCCTAGGCTGGAATTGGCACTGTCATAGAAGTTGTGCAGGTCTGCTTTGCATGCAAACTCGCCCAGAGTCACAATGAATGCCGTTGTTGTCGCGATGCTGCTAATACTCCGTAGAAGCAGCTATTCTTGGTGTATGCTGAAAAGAAGTCGATCCAAACGAGACGTGCTTCTAAGTATTTGTATGCTCTCTCTCTGTGAAAGAACCAGGTATTTGCTCTCAAGATGCTGCATGGCAAAACAAGTCACAAAGAATAGAGATATAATTGGTGGAGTGGTCATGGCGACGCGATTTGGCACATACCTAGGTGCATGACATGCGTTTGAACGTTTTGATGCATGTCACCTCACTGTCAAGCGCTTTTCGGCATTTTATCAAAGTTATAAGCATAAAATGGAATTTCGTGCAATTGGCAAATTAGGCATCATGCATGGCCTCGCCAAAGGCTGAAGGAAACTTGCCAATTGCACACATATCACCATTGCACTCCGGATAAATGGAGCATTCGGTTTGTTGTGTTATCGATGATGCATAAAAGCCAAATGGTATTTAGCACTGAGGCAACGGCTGTTACTGATGTATCCGTGCTTTGCTGGGGCAAAACAGGAGGCGGCAACGAATCATCGGTGGCACGGAATCGATGCCTAGGATATGCCTGTCGGTCGAAAAAACATCCGGGGGGCCACAGCATCTCGTGGTGATCACCACATGCATCACGTGAACCGTAAGTAAAGCAACGCCCTGGCGTGGACACGCTTGCCGTCCACGTCACAACGAGAGTCGGCGTGAACGCGCCACGAGCCGACAACCGTGACCGACACAAACACAACAGGCGCAACACTGGGACGCATGTGAAACCTAAAAGGGGCACACCCGGGGCGCTTACCTCCCGGGCGCCAATCACTGCCCATCCTGCTTCAGATAATGACCCAAGGCACGTCCGCAGTGTGGGCATGCTGTTACTTGCGTGCGCGCACAACACGGGGGAGGCGAACGAGGCGCCGGCCCACCAACGGCCAGCACTGACCCCAGCACCACCGACGACAATGGCTGGGAGCCCCCACCGACCGCGATTGCTAGCACGCGCAGCCGCTTTGTTGCCGCCGCTCGAGGTTGCGCACGGAAGGTGTCGCTTTCGCGAGGCTTGGGGTGGATGGGAGGTGTAAAGGGGGCAGGTATCGTCCGCGCCATGCAGTCAGCCACGGTGCCAGCGACATACAGGAAGGTACGGGGTGCATTGTTTGTCAAACAACTGATAGTACGACTGTATGGTGCATGACAGGCCCCTTCCAAAGTCATAAAGCAGCGCAACGGACTTCGTGGGGTAACATCTCCGGCGGCATTGCTGCATTTGATGAGCTGATCGCATCACACTGTCCGGCGATGCTCTCTGTTTTGGCGTTGGAGAAGGAAAGTGCTTCGGAGGCACGCCAGCAACGTAATCAACAGCCCTGAGGCCCGTGCAACAGCGGCGCTTCTGCTCTGATACTTACCTCGCGAGGTGATTGCCACCCGCTCTCGCTTTGGAAAACGGTCGGCTGTGAGCTTCCGCCTTGTCCCCGGCACTCCCTCCCTTTTGGCAGTCCTGGCGGGAAGACCACGCACAAGGAAATGCCCCGGACGAAGGGTCGCCAACGTGTGGGCGCCATCCATCCGTTTGGTCCGCCCTGGGAGCCAGCAAGAATTGGGGGAGTCCAGTGAGCAGAGGTGTGACCTTCTGGGGCAGAACGTCCGTGTCGCAGGCTAGGCTGCGGGCGACAATAGCTATCCCGTGGGTTTCTGTGTACATAGCAGCCGTATCTGAGTGCCACGTGTGCGACCCTCCTTCTCTTGACAAGTCAGATGTGTTGTCGAGTCGTACCCCCGTGTCTTTGTGGCGCTGACGATGATCATCTGTTGTGCACGGTATCGACCAAATGTGATATTGATGGCAATGGATCGATTTATCGTCAACGGGCTCAAGTCGATGTGGTATGGCTGTACATGGTGAGGGGGATGCTTCTGGGGCGGATTCTATGCATCTGGCGGAAAACTGCCTGAAGCTCAACTCGGCGCAGGTTCAAAGGGAGGATACATTGCTCACCAGGTGCGTTTTCTGCAAATACAATTTTTTCCGTGGTCAAAGCTTGGGAGTTTATGAGCACAGACAACTGAAACAGCTGGGGAAGGGAGAAAAAGCGTGTGTTGGTGATCGGATGCCTGCTGGAGACCACCCGGAGCCACCGACAGACCTTGATCTCAAACGGCCAATGTCCACCTTTAGTGGCCTGGGCCAGGCACACCATCCCCGCACGCCGTTCGCACACGCGGTCCGTGTCGCCTTCATCCCAGCTCCCATGATCCATTTGGGATTGTAGATCAGACGTTCTCAACCAGGTATCATGGTTTTCCCGCTTTTCCCCCTTTTCTCGTCGCGACACGCGGCCAGCTGGGAAAGTCGTCTTTGGCTTCCGAAACTTTGTGGCCTCCGCGGCAAGCGCGTGGGGCGCGACACGGCGGGGGCACACAAAGCCCAGCACGGTGTTTGACCGACCGACAGCCAATGGTTTTTGTCCGCTCGCGACTCTCTGCGCTCCCACGACTCAAGCAATTGCTTGCAAGGTTTTGGGCCCGCGACCAAGCCAAGGTTTGGCGCGAGAAGCGTCACACTCGCCTTAGGCCGCACAAGCTCGCGCTAGGGCCGGGGTGCCAACGCGCCAGCGCCGTAGGTGGAATGGCAAAGGAGGGAAAAGTGAAGAAAAGGGCTCCTGATGACATGTTCTGGCGGTCATCCACCGCTGACCGACACGCGGGACGCAAAAGATGCCAAACTCCGCAC